TCATTTTTCTTGACAGCACAAAAGGCATAATGATGTATTTCCGCAATAACTGCTCAAGACTATTGCCTTGGGGATTTAGTGAGTTTCTGTGAGGCACAGAAATACCAAATTCCTGTAGTACCCGGAACAGCCAGATACCAAGTACTTGGTGGCTCTCCTTACTGTTGTTCATAGGAAGCTGGGCTTTGGGGGGTTGGTCGTATTGGAAGCTTGTTCCTAGAGACTTTTGATTTCTCCAAGTGTTGGAAGATTTTGGCTGTGGAGGTCAGTGATGGGCATATGAAGTGTCAGGTCTTTGACCTCGAAGCAGATAGTGAAAGGGTTCTGGGTCATTCTTGAATAGCTTGGGGCAGACATGTTTCTTGGACAGGGACAAATCTCCCTGGATCGGGAAGTCTTGTTTTGCAGTGGACACTTCATAAAAGGAATCACGATGACTCTGCATGCAGTGAGAGACCAACTCCTCGCCGTTCCAGGAGACTTTGGGAGGTCCATAGGAGGAGTCCTAAGTGCTAGGAGTCACAGCATTGACCTCAGGGAGCTGTAAAGCTGGGGGAGGGAAGAGGGGAAACCTACTTAAACCAGAAGGCAGTGCAGGGACAAGCCTGTAAATAAAGGACTGCTCTGTTGTCCACCAGAAGGGGCTTCTGGAAGAACTGGGGTTACAGTGTCTTGGTGCCCTATAGGCAACTTTATAGGGCAAAAAGTGCCTGAACCTGCAGTGGGCTATAGAGCAGTTCCCGCCAGTCCCACCCCTTCTGAAGGTCATCTTAAAGCTTCCAGTGGAGGAAACCCGGTGCCATGCAGTAGCGCCTGAGAGGCAAGGTGGGTACAGACCCGTGGATGGACGCCTCCCAGCCCCAGGGATGTGCCTGGTGGAAGAGGAAATGCTATACAGGCGTTTCAAGGCTGGCTAGCCTGGTAACCTTGAGAAGAGCAGTCCATGAAGTCTTCTGAGTGTAAACTGACCCTGCAGAGAAAGTGATCCTTTCATTTTTCAGGTTCTGTGTGAAAAGGAAAAAGGAAATTGCAGGAAGGTGCCTGGGCTGTTCTTTACTGGCACGGAGGACACCCTAATTTTTAACAGAGCTCTGTCTGCTCTGTTCTTTGAACATGAAGGAGTGCAGGGTTTTGTAGTTAGTTGCAGGCATGAATGGACCTGCTCTGCTCTCTAAACACATGTACTAGGGCACAGTCGTCATTCCGAGGAGGGCCAAGGTTTCCCTTCGCAAAGGTGGGCGCCCCTTTTCACCACCTCACCCGGTGTTGCCATCCTTCCTCGGGGTGGCGGTGAGGCTTGGCCATGTACTGCACCAGATGTGTTCATCCGACCGCTACTTTGGTCTCTTGTTCTGGCATCACACATGTCCACACATGGGGAGGTCCACACCCAGGGTGGGCAAGTAGCAGTCCAGATCTGGGCACACTCTGCCCAGTGTTCAGTTACCATTGCCTTTTGACAAAAGAATTATGCTCTCTTCCTGATTTTGAATGGAAGACCTTTTGTGTATTTACTGCAAATGTGATAAATGCTAGACTGTGGAAACCAGCTGCCCCCATGGCTGCGGGGCAGCGTCTCTAACACCTGGCAGGTTGCTTATCAGTATGGTAGATTAAAACACACACATACACACACACACACACACACACACACACACACAAAAACCCAGCTAAAAACAGTGATTTCTCTAGGTAGGCTGGAGGGAAACAAGAGTAGGGAAGGCAGCAGCAGGTCCTGGTAGGGACAGGCAGATGGAGGCATATACCTCCATGGGAAGGGAGTTCCTGATGACAGGAGGAGGCCATTGCTTTCACTTCTGTTCCCAGATCAAGTTGATGGATATCTTGTATATCCTAGACATTGTGGTCGGCAGGATATTATTAGTAGTAGAGGGTCAGGTGAGCCAGTCAGAGAATGTAGGGGGTCCAAAGAATGACCATGGAGCCTGGCCTGTGTTGGACAGCCTCCAGGGGCAAGAAACCAGACTGGATCCTGAAATAGGGTCGAGCACCACAGGCTGGGTGACTTCAGCATCAGAAACATTTCGTCTCATAGTTTGGGGGGCTAGGGGAGTCCAAGGTCAAGATTCAGGATGTTGGTTCTTCAGAAACCAGGAAGAATGGATTGGTTCTGGGCCTCCGCCTTTGCTTATTATGGACGTTTCCTCCCTCGTCTACCCTGTTTATGTAAATAGGTGCACTTGTACACCTGCTCCCATTCCACACCTTATAGAGACCGGAATCGTGTCAAATGGTCACTCCTCAGACCCCATTTTAACTTTAATTACCCCTGTAAAGATCCCGTCTTTGCATATGGTCACATTTAGAAGTCCTGGGGGTTATAAGAATTCATCATCAACATTTTTGCAGGGGGCATAGTTCCACACACAACAGACAGGAGAGGATGGAGACTGAGGATTTCCCACTTAAGGGAACAGCAAGGCATTGCCACAGAGTAAAGGAAGATCAGTGCATACTTAGAGCTGTGTGCACTGGGTGGCATGTTAGTTGGGTAGCTGTGTGCATTATGTGGCATGTAAAGTGGAGAGCTGTGTGTACTGTGTGGCACCTAAGTTGGGTACTGGCAAGAGATGGAAAAGGGAAAGTAGAAAAAAAAATAAACCATAAGGGTTGCCAGCATCAAGCTGCGGAGTCTTGGAATTGGTAGTCTGGAGCCTGGCGGAGCAGATTGTGGACTGATCATAGGATTCTAACCTGAAGCCTAGCTGAGGTACAGAATCCCAGGTCCCACTCTGGAGCTGCTCAGCCAAGCACCTGCATTTTAACCACATCCCCCAAGTAAATCAGGGGCCTGCTGCAGCTTGGGAAGTGCTGGTCTGGAGCTCCAAGTCTTTGCTTTGGCTTCAGCTGTCATTGTGGTCAAGCCCCTGGGGTTCCAGTGTCCTTGGTCTGCCTGGGAGTGTTTGCTGTCTCCCTGTATGATTCTCTATTGCAGCCAGCATCGAGGTGAGCTGGTGGGAGGAGGATGTGTTTAAAACAGGTGTTGTGGGTTTGGGTGGGGTGGAAGGCATGAAAACTGTTTTTACCAAGAGCTAGGGCCCAAAGCAGCCCTGTGTTCCCTGCTGTCGTGTTTGGAAAGGTCAGAGTTGGAGGGACAAAGGCAGAGGCCTGTCATTATTACTGCACCTCTGCCATTTATAGGCAGTGTCTTCCCTACATAGAGGACATTGGCTGAAGTGCTTGCAACATCTGTTGGGTGATGGGGGTCCTGGTGGAGGTGAAGTTGGGGTGGGGAGCAGACTGCAGGAGTAGAGAGGCATTCCCTGCCAGGTTTTCTGGAAGCTTTGTACTGATTTCCCATAGCCCCCTAGGTTCTGGAAGGCTAGGCCCACTCTTAGGGATGGATGCTTTTCATGGCTGTTGCGTGTACCAGATAAGCCCTCCAAAGCCCACTGGTGATAAAGGTGATCTAGAGAAAACAAACATCAGTGAAAAGGCAAACAAACCCGAAACACCCAAACAGCGTTTATCCGAGTTTAGCGCTGAGACTAGGATTAAGCAGGTCACATGGCCCACAACTTTCCTTCAATCCTTAGGAGACTTCTCCCATGGAAATCTTTTTCGGCAGCTTTGCAATTTTGATTTTCAGTTAATTAGATTTGTGCTGTTTGGGAGACTTGGTTAATGCATTTCACCCCACAGAGCTAATTTGCCTCTGTCTAAATTAGGTCTTTGCTATGGTGGAGGGTGTACACGGGATGCGGGAATCTCGACTCGACTCACACGGGGCGCCGAGAGGCCGTTAGATGGTAAACAAGAGAGGCCTTCGAAATCACCACTTGTCATCATCATCATTAGTGTGGGAGATCTGAGGTCCCACTGAGTGCACAGAGAAAGGACACCATGTGACTATAGGGTGGGCTTGATACACACCTTGTGAAACGCAGCCTCATTTGCTTGCTGCCTCGTCAATCCCATGCTGGCCTATTACCACAAAAGGGATAGCCATTCAGAGGGGACAAGGCAGTGGATAATGCAGAATAATAAATGTGTAGTTCCCCAACCCCTAAGGAGGTGTCTCAGCCAGGCCTTCATTTTACAGGCTGAAATGCCTGAGGCCTAAAGTCATCTACCTTGGAGTTGGGAAAGTCACTTGCTTTCCTTTCCCGGGTATCCTTGTCCTGCCCTGCCTTTCCCAGCTTTGGCTGCATATGAAGGATGGGGCAGGTTAATCTGTTTGCATGGGGATTTGAGAGATGGCTGGAGACAACCAGTGGAGGCACGGGGTCCAGTTTTCTGGATTCATCACAAATTCTGCCCTTTCTTCCCCTTCTCCAATGTCAGATTATAGAATGTGTGTTAGTGATACGACACCAGGATTTATAATCTAGTAATTTATACCCTGATGATTTTCTCAAAAGGCTTTGAGATAGCAAAAAAGAAGGGGGTGGGGAGGTGGACCTAAGGAGACAGAATTAGAAGGTCTCTAATGCTCAAAGAACTGCTCAGAGGCCATCTATGGGGGTGGGCAGTATTTTGATCCCACCCCTCCCCCACATTAATAGAATCTGTGCCCATCGAACACCACACATACTGGCTAGCCTGGGGTAGGGAACAAGCCATTTTCACCTCCTTTGGCAGAGAAGACGCTGCACTGTGGGAGCATTTGGGCTAATTGGGATGCAGGGTGGATTTGGTAGGGTTGCCTTTCCTAATGCAGGTTGCATGAAGGAATCAGGATGTTGGCTAGAAAGATGTCTCTCTCTGCTTGGTGCTCCAGTGGCTGCAGGTCTGACTTGGTCCTTCATCTTGGTGTGAGGCCCCCAAAAGGGCACTGTCCTCCCAGGAAAGAGTTGTAGCCATGGTTTAGTCACCCCCTGAGCTTGTAGAAAGAGAAAACCCAGGCTGATGATATTGGGTAGCCTTCTGTCCCTGGGTGGGCTGCACAGTTTAGATGGTGACAAAGGAGGTGTTCAGAAATAGTGGGGAAGGAATAAAGTCTGTGCCATCATCACTGGTGACCAGAGACCGTTTTTTAGCATTTTCCAGGCCTGGGTGTTCTCATGCCTGTCTCTTCACTTCAATACGGGGAAGCTGAGAAGGTAAGCAGCAGACTGACCTCTTCAAGATCACACAAGGAGTTTGGTGGCATTGTTGGGACAGTAACACAAATGCCCCAGTTCCCACTGGAAATGCTAAATTCGCTAAATTCAGGATGCGATTTCTTTAATGCTTGCAGCGACTTACACACGGGTGGCATTGGATCACAGTGGTGAAACTTGCAGACCTTAGATTCAATCAAATGGGGTAGAGACTGTTGATGGAGAGCTTGCTTTCTACCTGATGGCGCGATAACGTGCAGATTGCTTTGAATGCATTTGGTCAGTGTAATCCTAAGCAAAATCGAGGCCTGTTGGGTAGTTTTTTTCAACTTTGGTGTCTGATGGGAAAGCAGGCTCAGCTCACCTGCGTAGCTACATGACTGGCAGCTACAGAGCTCATCTCAGGCCCAGTGTTTGGCTCTTCCCGGTGTTTCTTTTTGAAGATGGATGAATGGGACAGGCTGCAGCTTGGGGACCTCTGGATTGTTCCTTGGTGTCAGCATCAAGTGAGTTGAAGCTAGGTGTCCTGCTCCTTGGCAGACCCCTTTCCCTGCCTCATCTAACTCTCAGCATCTTTGGAACAACAATGGCTTCTTGCTTTGAGTGGTCACTGAGCTGCTGCCTACCAGTTTTCTGGACACTTGCTGCTGAACTGTGTTCCGATCGAAAGCAACACAATTACTCTTTGAAGCTTGAGGGCAATTGTGAACACTTACAGTCTGCCTTCTTGTTCAATACTTGCTTGGAGTGTCTCTCTGAGAGGGTTGGAAAGGCATCTTGGATGGAGATGGTGGTTGGCTCTGTTGCTGGGTTGGGCTAGCTGTTTTTTTTTTTTTTTTTTTTTTTTTTTTTTTTTTTTTTTTTCTTTTTTTTTGCCTCTGTTGGCAAGGGAGGGATTTTTATTTAGACATTCACATGGGGACTTGAATCAGAGCAGAGGTGACACCTGGCCTCTTTCAGGTGCAAGCCAATTTGCAGAAGGCTAGAGAGGATGGCTAGGTATGCAGGGCTGTTCAGGGAACCCTCCAGGGAGAAGCCCTGAGGGGAGGCACTGTCAGATGTTCTCTGCCAGTTTGCACAGCGCTGGGAGGCAATATTTTAAGACAGTTGGGGAGGGTCAGAGGTTTCTACCTTTAGAGACTCATCAAAGAGCTAAGTGGTGCCCAAAGGCAAAGAACGATTCTCCCAGAATTTTGCATCCTGTGCGCCTGCTCCTCCTTTGTCTCATTGGAATAGGCAGGCTGGCTGAGGGGCACCACTAATCCCTGTGTTCAGATACAGAGAGGAGGAAACCCTAAACAGATCTTGCTGTCTTTGCAGTCAAGCTATGGGCCCTGCCTGTAGGGAAGAAGAGAACCCTGGCAAACGGTGTCTGTGGTTGTCACTAGCTATTCTCTGGAGATGGAAAAACGGATATCCAAGACACCTTCTTATCTGGTCCTTTTGTCCCTCCTTATTACTTCCCACCTCAGGCTCAGCATCTGTGTCTGGACCAAAGTGAGGAGGGTGTAAGAACATCACGTTGGTTCTCTTAGCTCTGGGACACTATCAGGAGCCATGGATTTTAGGACCTGGGGTGGCAAGGTGTAGTTGTATAGCAGCTTCCCGTGGACACTCTGAATGCTTCTCTACCCTCTGCATATGGCCTGGCCAAAGGGAGAAGCAACCAGCAGTCTCCTCTAAGAGCTTTCAAAGCCACTGGGTGGCTATTGTCCCTCCCACCTAGGCTTCCTAGTCACACCTACAAACACCAGGCAGTAGGGGTTGTGACTAGGAGCGCTTTGGGAACTGCCATTAGCTTCGATTGGAAAGGTGACCCAGAACATTAGATCTGAGTCGAGAGGGTGACATGAAACCCCTGCCCTAGCCTCCAGGTCCTTGCTGGCCTCAGCCAACTTTTTGGAGCACCTAGCCATCCTTCTGTGCTTCCCTCCTCCTCCACCCTATTTTCCTGCTGGGAATCCCAGTGTGGCCTTGTAAATATTAGATCTGGAAACACCCGAGCCTCTCTGGAGACAGAGCAGTCTGTTACACCACAACTCAAGCCGACCTTTCCCCGGCCGAGTCCACAGAGTTCCCTGCAGAGGAAGGAGGCGAGCTGTCTCCTCTCCCACATCAGCTCCCCTGGCAGCTTGTTCACCTGATGAGCTTTCCCGTTGTGCTGAAGAGAGGGAGAGACAGCTGGGGAGAGAAATGTAGGCAGAAGGGCAAGGGTTGTGCTGATGCTCTTATTTTTCAGCCTCCAAAGACATCCTCTGTTGGCCAGGACAGCTTTACTCTGCCTTCGAAACAGCAGCTCCCTGAGGGCAGGCAGGGACTCTTCTTGCTGAAGACCAGCGAGGGAATGGGGCCTGCATTGTGGCCATGCAGCAAGGGTTCAGTAGCAATCCCTTCAGAAAGGAGGCACATGACCCCTCTCTTGCCTTTTTGAAGGTTGGGTGCACTTTTTGCTTAAGATTTGAACATCAGAGTCCAGTTAGAAGAACCTGTATGGAAAAATTTATTCCTGTTTCAGGAAAGGCTAAGAAAAATATTTGTTCCCATCATCAAAGTGGAAATTTAAGTCAATGACAATGGAAACTATTTCTGGCCATTCTCAGAGCAGAGAGAGGAGGGGCTGAGTTGATTCAAGCAGGGCGGAAGAATTCAGGCACTGTAAATTTTAGGGGTGAAATAACAGCATAGAAATAAAAACTCCCCAAGGAAACATAAACCAACCTTTAATCAAACATAAACAACAGGCCACAAGTCCCCTTCCCTCACTGAGCTGGCGGCTCCAGGGCTGCTCTAGTAACTAGGACTGCAAGAGTATTGGGCTGGCTTCCTGCTCCTCACAAGGTCCTTGTTGGCATCAGACAACTTTTTGGAGCACTCAGCCAGCCCCTGGGGCCTCCACCTTCTCCCTCCCCCCCCACCCCATGGGAATCCCAGTGCAGCAGTTGCAGTCCCTAGGTTAGGTGACACGTGGAGGGCTTCAGGGTAAAGACTGGAGAGTGCTTGGCTGAGAGCAAAGGCCCTTTGCAGACTGTGCCTTGATTGGTCGCTTGGGGAAAATCAGCTGCTTGAGAACAACCCAGCTGCTGGGAAGGGTGTGTGTATGGATAGTGCAGGGGGGTGTGGCCTGAGGTGCTTGATGCTTAGGGGGCGGGGTACTAAGCCCATAGCGGTTATGAAAGTTAGCAAATGACCATTAGGAAAAGTCAGAGGAGCAGCTGAGGCCCAGCTATATATCCTCCCTGACCCAGTTGCGGTCATTAGCAGGTCTGTTTCTCCTTCCACAGAAGTAGATTCTGTGGAGGTTTTCGGTCCTAAATCTTGCAGCAAATTGAAGTAAACCTGAACAGACTTTTTTTTTTTTTTTTGAAGTTCTGAAGAATTTGATCAGAAAGTTTAATTTTTCCCATGGGCTTCTGAGATCCGTGTCTGAGAAATGGCATGGGTGGGACTGCACCATCCTGGGACATGCCGGGTTTATCTGGATGCTTGGTGGCTGGTGATCACTAAGGCCTGACTTTTCAGAGCTTCTCCCATGTGAGGGATACCTGGGCGTTCCCAGCTTCCTAAGGGACAGTGACACCTCTGTTGATAGGAGCCAGATGTGTGGAAGGATAGTGGCTCAAACCAGCCCTGGGGCTACATTAGGGAGGGCTTCTCCCCAGAGCAAGAGGTTCTAGTAGAAATAGAAACCATGTGGTATAGGTTTTAAAAAGGCCTCAGGGTGGACGGTGGTGAGAATGTTTGTAGCAGAGGTGCCAGTGGGGAGGGGCTCCCAGGGTTTTGAAGAGGAATTATCTTGTGGCCCATTCCTTTCCTTTGTTCCTGCTCTGTGAGGAGCAATCTTCCCACAAGTCCCATGAGATGGTTTTCTCTTTGGGTGATGACTCACTTTACCAGGTAATTACTTTGCATCTGTTACATGGGTGGGTTTTTCTTTGGGGGGGGTTAGGAGGAACAGCAGTACCCTGTCCTTAAGAAATGTGAGGTTTAGCTGGTCGTGGTGGCTCACGACATTAATCCCAGCACTCAGAAGACAGAGTTAGACAGACCAATGTGAGTTGGCCAGCCTGGCTTATATAATGAATTCCAGGATGGCTGGGGCTACATGGAGAGACCCTGTCTAAAAAAAAATGAGGTTTCAGAGGAGGAGTCTGAGGTCTGCTGAGTTCTGGCAGCAGAGGTGGTCACTGGGTCTTTGAGTCACTCATTGGTCCCACTAGTCATGCTCTGCCTTGTCAGTGTTGTCCTTGGCAGCAAAGCTGTGCCATTGTCTATTCTTATGAGCTGACTGTGGAGTTCAGTTGTATTCCTTCTGGGACTGTCTTCTCCAGTCTTTCCTTGTCACCCTCTTGGTTCTGTGGCTCAGAAGGGCATGTGGCTGGTGCTGTCCCCTCTTTTCTGATCTATTGCTAGATGTGTGTCCCACTTGCTGCATCGAGTCATGGAGTTGGAACAGATCTGGGCCCCATGAATTTTAATTGGTGCATTTTGTCAACCCATCTGTGACATGGAGGAGAGAAAGGGGTGGTTGGGAAGAAAGCAGGGACTTCTGTTTGGGTTGTAGGGTGGGCCCAGTAGTCTCTTTGTCATATGATACCTCAGGGTAGGTGGCTATTTATGGTAGAGGCATTAACAAATGTCAGGGTAGAGAAGAGGAACCTATAGAGAATATTCTGGAACATCACAAACCATGAAGAGCAGTTCTGATATGGTCATGCAGGGGCATGGTGGTGTTTGGCCTGGCATGGTGACTGGTACCTATAATCCCAGCTGTTCTAGAAGTTGGGGCAGAAGGTTCACAAGCTCAAAGGCAGCTTGGACAAGTTAGGGAAACCCTGCCTCAAAGGGGCTGGGGATGTAGCTTAGTGGGAGAGGACTTGCTTAGCATGTGTAAAGTCCTGGGTTTGATCCCCGCCCCTGCCAGAGAAGGGATGTGTAGAAAGTGGTGCAGGGTGAGCCCTGCACTTCTTGTGTCTGTGTTCCTGGATCTGGGCATTCTCTTT